CAAACCCACCAGCCACTCCTTGGAAGGAAGGTTGGGCAATCTACTTCTGTAGTGATACCACCTCGGAAACCCAAGGAGGGGTTGCCATGAGTCGGATCTGACTTGATGGCACATAACAACAACAACATTCGTATGTTCTGCAAGAATTCCCAGTATATAGTAGAGCTGACAAGGAACAAGGCTGTAATCACTTCTTGGCCATAGCCAGCTACCCAGAGGGAGTGAGTAGTTGGACCATGGTTGGGACCATGGTTGCAGGGGACATCAAGCTCAACTGGCATAACATACTACACAAAAACATTGTTCCACATCCTACTTTGGTGAGCAGTGACTGGGAGCTTGAAAGCAGCCATCTAGATGCAATGATGGGTGTCTCCTCATTCAGAGCAAAGAAGAATGAAGAAAACCAAAGATTCACAGAAACAATTAGTCCAAGCAACTGGTACACCATGCGATCCTCAGCCACAATGACTATGAGACCAGAAGAACTAGATGGTACCCAGCTACCACTGTCAACCACGTGGAGGGAGATCTATGTAGGAGATCCTGGATAGAGAGAGAGAAAAATATGGAACAAAACTCAAAACCATTAAAAAAAAAAAAAAAAAAGGACCAGTTTTGCTGGTCTGATAGAGCCTGATGGAACCACTGAGACTATGGCCCCTAGTTGCCCTTCAGGTCTGGAATTCAATCCACTCCTGTGGCTTCCAGCCAAACAAAAGACAGGCATATGAGCTGAATATTTACATTAGGAAGATACACTCCTTGGAGAGATCAATCATAGGTGAATAGAAGGGCTGTGTATACACAGGGAGACATCTGGGGGGCACGAATGCATGGGAGGGAAGGACACAGGGAAGAGGTGGCTATGGGGAGGAAGTGGGAGGAAAGCTGCTGCATTGTGGGAAATTGCAGTCAATGTCATGATACAAAGTATATGTGAACTGTTGTATGGGAGATTAATTTGCTCTGTAAGCTTTCACCCAAATCACAATAAAAATAAAAAAAAAAAAAAAAAAGATATGGCTGGGTGGAGAGCCAGAGACCATCTTGTGACCTGATATTCCTTGATCTCTTTGAAAGAGGTAGGGCAGGACTCAATTAATTATGTTAAGATTAGACAATGGTTGATCTTCTATATGTCTCCTTTTGATAAGCCTCATTGTACCTAGCGTCTTCCAGCCAATTGTTTTTCCTGGAATCAAAATAGTCCCCCTATACAGGCATACTTCATTATATTGCACTTTGCTTTATTGCACTTGGCAGATTTTGCAATTTTACAAATTGAAGTTTTGTGGCAACTCTGCATCAAGCAAGGCTTTATTGGTGACATTTTTCCAATAGCATGTGGTCACTTTGTGTCTCTGTGTCACATTTTGGTAATTCTCACCATATTTTAAAGTTTTTCATAATGCTCTTGCACACTTAATAGACTGCAGAATAGGTAAATATAACTTTTTATGCACCAGGAAATAAAAAATGTATGTAACTTGTTTTATTACAATATTCACTTTATTGTGGTGGTCTAGAACTGGACCTGTAATATCTCCAAATTATGCCTGTATGCATATAGAATAACCACTGAGAATAAACTTTGAGTTAAAAAAAATCAATTGACCATTGACTTATATTGTATCCTTACACCAATACCACGGTGCCTTGAATACTACTACACTGTAGCTCTGTACTAAGTTTGAAATCATGTAGTATATGTCCTCCAATTTTGTTCTTTTTCAAAATTGTTTTGGTTATTCTAGATCCTTTCCATTTCCATATTGCAGTGAATTGCTTGATGTGCCCTTCTAGCCATTGTCCTCCATTCTGTGATGTATTGTAAATCCTATTATCCATGCCTGTTTGGGGTGGTGTGGTAGTTAAAGTCAAGTGTCAACTTGGCTGGGCAGCTGGTAGTAGTCGTTCCCTATAATGACTGGCAATCAGCTCTGTGGTGGGATTTGCCTTGAGCCGCTGATTGTTAAAGCCATCCACTTAGGTTATTTCTGTTGGAGCAACATAGGTGGAATGTATCTTGAGTCCTGTCTTGCTGGAGGGTATAATTCAAATCACCACCCTTAGCTTCCTTGAGGGTATACTATGAATCTCCTGGGAAGGTTTCCCCCTCTTCTTGCTCCGGTTTTGTGTTTTGGCTCATCCTCATCTCACCCCTGGATTTGGGACAGCAGCCGTCATCTGATCTGCTGATCGAGGTTCATCAAACCCCGAGAATTGGGCGGATCCTCCAGACCCACTCACGGACCTGGGACTCACCAACCTGCCAGCCTCCACCACAACTACGTGACACGATCCCTTGGGTGTCTGTGAGTTCTGTGAGGTGTTACAGTGAAATAGAGAACCCTGAGATGGGGGAATTTACTGGGAGGAGGAGGAGGAGTTAATGTCTGTAATGATGGAATGGCACAGCAATTTGGATATTTGGGACTTCTTTAACCTCTGCCTCATGGGGACCGGCCTTGTGCTGATCTTTCTGAGAGAAATTGTTCAAGCACATATACATTTCAGAATCAGCTTGTCAATTTCTATTTTTTAAAAAATCTGGGATTTTGATAGAATTTAGGTTGAATCTGTAGATCAATTTTGGAGAATATCTTGAACCTTAAAAAAAAAAAATTGCTGAATACCTGTCAGCAAAGATGGGCAGGTGAGATCATGAGGAAAGGAGAGTAACCAGAAAGAAAATCCTCACTGGGAAGTTCCCATGTGAAGTAGGAGAAAATGTTCCATTACAGGTCATGTTCTCCCCACTAGCAAATTTTAAACAGGTGGATGGTGACAAATAAGAAAATGAGTCAGAAAGCAGTGTTTTTAGATCTTCCTGGCACAGAACGTTTGTCCTAAAATTTCACTTAGTTTTTCCTGAGAGCCCTATGTGAACTCTACCTCAGAGAAGTAAATAATTCCCCAGCTCCCTATCCCAGGAGACTGGTCATCAACCCCATCATTACCGTAGCATGATCAAAGTGAGGCTCATAGTGTCCTCCGATTCCATAGTTCACCACCTGGAGATACTCTGCATATGGGGGCTGGACATCAAGGCCTGTAAGGGCAGCAATGCGATGGTCAAGAGTCACCAGCATTGGGTCAACGGTGTCCTTCAGCCAGGCACTAGAACACACCAGAGATTGGAGCATCAGTGACTCCTGTTCAGAGTCTACTCATTCTGGCTAATGCCAGAAATGACTAAATGATGTTTGTCAGTGACTGAATGAAGGATGTCAATTGTAGGAAGGAAGGAATGAACAAAGGAAGAGAGGAAAGGGGGACGGGGGAAAGACACAAATGTCTTGTAATCTACTTATCCCTCAAATAGTCTGCTGACTCCACTCTGCCCTCTATCTCAATATTCACACTGTCACTCACTCAAAAAACATCCTTTGAGGCGTACTGAATGCTAGGCCCTGTGCTAGATGCTGAGGCTACAGTGTGATGGTTCATAGTCCCAGGCACTGAGATACAGAGTCAAAATTCCTGCCCTTAAAACAGCTATATTTTAGAGGCATTGCAATGGAAGGAGCAGGGTCCAATGGAAAAAGCTTGGAGTTTAGAGTAATAAAGACTAGTCCCTGATCCTCAGTGTGATCCTAAATCAGTCACTTAATGCTTAATCTCTCCAAGGTTCAGTGTGTGAATGTATAAAATGAGAATGATAATAGTATCTACTATATAGACTTGTTGGGAGCTCTGGTGGTGCAATGCCTAAGGCATTTGACTGCTTACCAGAAGGCTGGAGGTTCAAACCCACCAGCCACTCCTCGGAAGGAAGATTGGACAATCTACTTCCGTAGAGATACCTCCTCAGAAACCCAAGGAGGGGAGACTGTGAGTCAGGATTCACTCGATGGCAGTGAGTTTTTTTGGGTTTTTTTTTGTTTGTTTGTTTGTTTGTTTAGCCTTGCAGAGATTGTGAGAAACAGTATATAAAGATGCTTTGTAAGCTATATGTCAGTAATTGCCATTAAACACAGGAAAATCCATTCTGCTCTATTCAAAGACAAACCAGGATACCTCAAAGGCCAAAGAACAGTTAGTTTAGTTTCTTTTCCTGGATGTCTTCTTGAGGCTCTGGCAAAGTGTAGGATTTGAAATTATAATTTAAGTCCCTGGAAAATGTGGAAGTGTTCCCCAACCATAGCTAGTGACCCTCCTGGGGGAGACCATGAGTGCTCTGAAGGGAAGAATTTTAGCATAATATCAGAAGACCACTTCTTTACTCTTTAAATCATGGTCAAATTTGTTCATCTTTTCACTCTCTCATATGAAGTACATACAAAGTGCTATGCTACATTTTCTTAGCTTTACAAAGATACCCAAGACAAAACTTCAAAGACCTCATGGGTTAAGTGGAAGAAGACAAAAACAACCAAGTACCAGTTAAATTAAAGTGAAAGATGCAAAATAGACTTTGAAGTAAAGTTCTGAGAGAACACAGATAAAGGAACAGTTAATTCTAACTGGGCACAAATTTTGAAGGGTGAGTAAAATTTCATTGGATAGAAAAGATGTAGAGTTATTCCTGGCTGAAGAAACAGCATATGCGCAGATATGTTGTTGTTGTTGTTGTTATGTGCCGTCGAGTCGGCCCCAACTCATAGCGACCCCTCCTTGGGTTTCCGAGGCAGTATCACTACGGAAGTAGATTGCCCAACCTTCCTTCCGAGGAGTGGCTGGTGGGTTTGAACCACCAGCCCTCTGGTTAGCAGGCAAGTGTCTTAGCCACTATGCTACCAGAGCTCCCTCTATATATGCACAGATATAGAGGTCTGATAATACATGGTATGTATAGGAAATGATGTAATATAGCTAAAGCACTTGGTCTATGAAAGAAGTAATAGGACATACACCTAAGAAAAGCATGCTCAGAGCAGGTTGTAAAAAGCTGAGGACACCACAGTATGTAATCTGGACTTCACTCTGTAGATAATGGATAGTCAGTGAAGGTTTGTGGGCAAGAAGATAATCTGACAATTACAAACTTGTTATAGATTGAATGTGTCACCTCAAAAATATGTGTTGTAAATCCTAACCTCTATGCCTGTGGTTTTAATCCTATTTGAATGGATGGTCTTTGCTGTGTTAATGAGCCAGGACTAATGTAGCCTAGTGTAGCATGTCTTGAGTCAATCTCTTTTGAAATATAAAAGAGATTAAACAAGAAAGTGAAACTACAGAGATGGGAAAAGAGATGCCAAGCCACATGAAGATTGCCTAGGAGCAGAAGCTCAGAACAGACAAGGACCATGGAATATTTACACCATGGAAATAAGCAAAAACTACAAATTAGGGCTTTCATTTTTTCAGAGAACTGATTTGTTAACATTTACTGGCATACCACTGCTCTGCTTCTTCTCCATCTGTGATGCAATGAATTACTTGGTATGGCTCTTTTAGCCATGGTCTTTGGGATGCCCAGCCAATGACTGGGTGGAACTATGCAAATGTAAGATGCTGGTAGCCTACCAAAGGGATTGGATAGCTTATGAATAATGTAAATAAGGTACATGGCACTCTTGTGGGGGTGGGGCCATGCAAATAAGATGTAGGGAACCCTAATGTGGGGATTGGTTAGTTTTAGCTAGGCTTAAAATGAGCCCCCTAGAGGCAGAAGTGGGAATCTCACTGTGCCTAAGGCATTTGACTGCTAATTAGAAGGCTGGCAGTTTAAACCCACCAACCCCTCCTCGGGAGGAAGATTGGGCAATCTACTTCCGTAGAAATACCACCTCGGAAATCCAAGGAGGGGTCTCTATGAGTCAAGATTGATTCGACAGCAGTGAGTCTGGTTTGGTTTTTGGTATCAAGGGAAAAAAGCCAGAGGTGGAATGGAGCTCATCCTTGGATCCAAAATCCCTGCAGTGGATCTCCTTGGCAGACTACTGGCAGAGATGACTGGCTGAGACAACCAACTGAGAAGACCGGCTGAGATGACCAGCAGAGGAACTGAGCAGCATGAGACAGAGCTGCAGGCTTGCCAGCCCACATAATGAGAAAGCTGAGTGCCTTTGGGCAGAAGGCTTGCTGGCAGAGTGGGGTGCACCTCAGTGCTCCTACTGGCCGAGCTAAAAGAGCTTTGTAACACTTGCCTGAGCAGGCAGAGACCAGGCCAAGAGGCCAAGGGCCAGAGAGGTGTGCCTGAGGCATAGCAGAGGGGAGACTGTCCTAATAGAAGAAATGTATCCTGAGCACATTCTTGAATCTGAATTGTAACCTGTTACTTCCCTAATAAGCCCCATAATCATAGTATTGTCTGAGTTCTGAGTGGCTATTGCAATGAATTATCAAACCCAGCAAAGGAGTAGTGAGTGCTGTGGGAGGGACAGCTGGTGTCAAAAAAAAAAAAAAAAAAAAGGCTGAAAGGTGGTAGCATGTCTGGCCTCATAGGAATAAGCCTTGGGCTATTGATGGTGACTCTGTCTTTCCCTCTTGAGGTTGGAAGAAGCCAGAGGATACTGCCTCTATGTCCTTTTTGCATCATCTCATCCCAAGTTTGGGTTAGCTGGCTCCGTTACGGGCTCTGATAATACCCTAAACTCACACTATCAAACATCCATTTTTATGTACTGTGGTTACTTGTCTATCTCCAATTTCCAGACCGAAAATTCTTGGGGGTAGAAACACTGTATCCCTAGACTCTTATCCAGTGCCTGGCTTACAGAAAGTACTAATCAGTATTCTTTGACAGATTGGTTGTTTGAATGTTGTTGTTGTTGTTGTTGTTTGCCGTCGAGTCGGCCCCGACTCATAGCGACCCCTCCCTGGGTTTCCAAGGCAGTATCACTACGGAAGTAGGATTGCCCAACCTTCCTTCCGAGGAGTGGCTGGTGGGTTTGAACCACCAGCCTTCTGGTTAGCAGTCAAGTGCTTTTAGCCACTATGCTACCAGAGCTCCTTGTTTGAATGAATGACTGGAATACATCCTTATTGAACATTTGCCATCTCTGGGAGAAACATTAGCAGAGAAGACAGTTTCTGGCTGCCCTCTGCAGTGATCATCTATTTGGCTGGAAAGCATGGAATCAGAGTGAGGAAAATGAATGCAGACTGTTATGGTTTGAATTGTGTCCCTAAGAATATGTGTTATAAATCCTAAACTCTATTATACCTATGGTTATAATCCCATTTGAGAATGAATTTTCTTTGTTATGTTAATAAGGCAATATTAGTGTAGGGTATGTCTTTTTTGTGTGTGGTGGAAACACACACAACAGATAGTCATCAACATAACAACTTTCACATTTACAGCTCAGGGACATTGACATTTTTCATGTTGTGCCACCATTATTGCTATCCTTTTCCAAAATATTCTACCACCACTAGCATAAACTCAATGCAGTGTAGGGTATGTCTTAAATCAATCTCTTTTGAGATATGAAAGAGATTAAACCAACAAGTGAATAAGCATACATGGGGAAATATAAATGACACACCACAGGAAGAAACAGGGAAGCAAAGATCAAAGACCTTCCCCCTTGATCTGATAGAGAGAAAAAACCTTTCCCTAGAGCCAATGCCCTCAATTTGGGCTTCTAGCCTCCTAAACTGTGAGAAAATAAATTTGTTTGTAAAAGCCATTTACTTGTATTTCTATTATAGTAGCACTAGATAAGTAAGAGGAGCTCTGGTGGCATAGTGCCTAAGGCATTCGACAACTAACCAGAAGGCTGGCAGTTCAAACTTACCAACCACTCCTCAGAAGGAAGGTTGGGCCATCTACTTCCATCATGATATTGCCTCGGAAACCCAAGGAGGGTCGGATTCGACTCGATGTCAGTGAGTTTGGTTTTTGGTTAGATAAGTAAGACAGGACCTGTTCCAGTGAAGTGTGATGATAGACCCAAACTCAAAGGATTGGGAGTGATGAGCGCTGGGAAAGAGGAGGCAACTCTTCATTTTAAAAGGGAAAAAAATATCACCTACTACCACAAAAGCAATGTATTCAAAGGTAAGGATTTCCTTTGAGAGTAAAATGTCATAAAGGTAGAAAAGCAATGAAGCTGAGGTTATAAGGACCTTCTAAAGTTCAGAGAATAGCTCCTAAATGTGGAAAGATCCCTAAATATACAAGACAAACTAAAAAAAGCCAAATTATTCTGAATCACAGATTTCATCACTCACCTCACTTCCCAAAAAAGTCCAAGGCCAGACAACAAAAACTAACCACATATACAGAGGTCTGGCCTCTCCCAAAGGACGCTGACTTCACTGTCTTGCATGGTTCTGATGAAAGGTCCTCATCTTACTGTATCATCAGTCCCAGTGTTACAGCTCAAATAAAGGGCTTCAGTGGGGGACGGGCAGGGAGCAAAGGCAGATAAAGTTGGGGCTCTCAGATGAATCTGTTCCTCTAGAGAAACCACCACATCCAGAGATTCTATTCATCCTTCTTGCCTAACTATTGGCAAGTCATGCTTTGAATATGAGTCAGGAGGTGGGGATGGAAACTTAAAGTAAAACTACACATGTGGATGAGACTTTATTCTCTGAAAAAGCAATCCTGGTTTCTAAACCAAACCAAGCTCACTGCTGTCAAGTCGATTTGACTCATAGTGACCCCTCCTTGGGTTTCTCAGGTGGTATCTCTACAGAAGAAGATTGTCCAATTTTCCTTCTGAGGAGTGGCTGGTGAGTTTGAACTGCCAGCCTTCTGGTTAGCAGTGAAATGCCTTAGGCGCTACGCCACCAGAGCTCCTGGTTTGGAGAAAAAGCTCCTATGCCCAAAACCAAAAAATAAACATACAGTTGTTCTCCAAATCCTTGTTTGGAGAACAACTATAAGTTTATTTTTTGGTTTAGGGCATAGGAGTTTTTCAAGTCTTTCCCTAATGCCCTTCTAGTTAAATCCTTAGACAATACAACATCTTGTGAAAGGTCCTTGGGTGAGGAGAGCGGAAACTTCTTTCTCTCAAAAAGAATGTATAGATATGTGAACTAAAGAACCTCCAACGAGATCACTGGCAGCCAAGTGGCTGATACTGACAGGGTCCTCAGCTGTGCCTCAGGGCTGAGGGCCAACAGAGGTTATTACAGGAAGTTTCTGCCAAAGAAGGATCCTACATACCTTTTGCTAATGCGGTAGTCCACTTGTAACTGCTTTTCCCCTGATGCCACCACTGATCTTTGTAGCTGGTGTGAAAGACAAAAGAAGTATAAGTGATTATTATGCAAAGGGAAGTGGTTCTTTCATTTCCATAGATAAGTCTCCTCTCTTAACATAAGCATATGGATCACCAGTTCTTCCCTAATTGAAGAATATTTTGCTACTAATTTACATGAGTCCCGGTGGTGCAAATAGTTAAGTGCTTGGCTGCTAACTGAAAGGTTGAAGGTTCGAGTCCACCCAGAGGTGCTTTGGAAGAAAGGCCTGGTGATCTACTTTCAAAAAACCAGCTGTTAGAAGTACAATTCTCTTCTCACACACAGGGAGTCACCATGTGTTGGAGTCACCTTGACCACAACTGATTGTTTTTTTTTTCTTTTTTTCCCCACTAATTTACTAATAGCTATGGATTTCGAAAATAAAAAACAGTGGAGTGACCAAAAATCTAGAGTTGAAAATAACCTTTAGCACTGTGTCTGGTAGACAGTAAGCACTCAATGAAAATTTGTTGAAATACATTGATGTTTGAATCCCTTTTTTATCTGCATGGCTGCAAGTTCTACAATCACAAGGGCTGTTTCTCATTCATCTTTGTATCCTCCGTGTCCAGCACAGGACCTGACCCTGGTAAGCAGTAATGAGACTTTGCCCTCAGCGGCAGCCTGCTCCTTCTGAACAATGCTGGCAAAAGCCCTTCTTTATAGAGAATTAAATCCATTTTCTATAACTGCCTTGACTGTGGGAGAAAAAATGTTTGGAATTACTAATTTAACTGAATGCTTCTATTTTGTTTTAAATGTCTGGTTATTAGCATTTAAGTTATTTTTAAATAAAGTGATTTCTAATTGCAAAACACTGTATATGGGACAGAAAAATAAGTATTTCTTTTCATAAGAATTTGTCTACTGCTGCCACTATCATCAGAACATCAGCTCCATGAGGGCAAGGCTCAGATAAATTCAACTCAACCCATGGAAGCATTTGTGCTGAGCTCCCATTGTGGAGCCACTACCATATAAGTCCCAAGCTTGTTCCTGCGAGAGCCAGAGACCAGACAGGGATCAAAAATCCCAGCAAGAGGTTTCTGCAGGAAGGGAGTGTGGCAAGATCTGTGCATGCCAAATGGATGACCTGGCCAGGAGGGATTCAATGAGTATCTCTGAGTGGTCTGTTACCATGGCAACAGAGTTATTGTGAGAAGAAAACCAGCTGCTAGCCAAATACTACTGCTAGCTTATAGAGAAATTGAACCTACTGCAAGTACATTGTTCTAGGTCACCACTGGAGCTTAATCATCTCAAAAACCTTTAGTAAAAAATATTTTAGACTTCACTGGAGGAGCTTTTAGATGAAATGGGTATTGCTAAGGAGCTCTGGTAGCATAGTGCCTAAGGCACTTGACTGCTCACCAGAAGGCTGGCGGTTCAAACCCACCAGCCACTCCTCGGAAGGAAGGTTGGGCAATCCTACTTCCGTAGTGATACTGCCTCGGAAACCCAAGGAGGGGTCGCTATGAGTCGGGGCCGACTCGACGGCAAACAACAACAACAACAACATTCTTCTACTGTCAGAATCTTCATTAACGTCCTCAGGCTGGATCATGGCATTCTCCTATTTAAAACTGTCTAACAGCTCCCCTATTGCCTACAGGATAAAAGCCAAGCTCCTCAGCGTGGCATTTATAGTGTTTGCTACAAGTGTTTCACCGTCTAGCTGCATCTCCTACTATCACCTCCCACCCCATCCACTGCACACTTCAGCCACCAACTTCCTCCCATTCCCTGAATACCTTGTGTATCAGGTCCCTGCACATGGTGTTTGTGTTCTTGGAAAACCCTTCACCATCTTGTGGTGCCTTATCTCAATTACTCTGCTGAATTTCACTGAAGCCTTCTCTGTTTCTTCCTCTCTTTTGCCTCTCTCTTTGCCTAAATGCTTCTTCTTCAGATAAAAGCTCACTTTTTTTATGTTACCATAGCACAACTCTCTGCACACTTTTTTTTTTGTGTGTGTGTGTGTGATTTGGGTGAAGATTTACAGAGCAAATTCACTTTCCATACAGCAGTTCACATATACTTTGTCTCATGTCATTGACCACAGTTTACCACAATGCAACAGCTCCCCTTCCATTTCCTCCCAACTGTCACCTCTTCCCTGTGTCCATCCCTCCATGCATCCCTGCCACCTGAGCTGTTTCCCTGTGAATAAACAGCCCTTCTTTCTCCCATGATTGTTCTCTCCAAGGAGTGTATTTACCTCAGGTAAATGTTCAACTCCTATGCCTGTCTTTTACTTGGCTGGAAGCCACAGGTGTGGGTTCAATTCCAGACCTGAAGGGCAGCTAGGGGCCATAGTCTCAGTGGTTCTACCAGGTAAAGAGGTCTTTTACAGTAGATTTGCCCAATGCAATACATCATTTGATTTTTAACTGCTTCCATGGGTATTGACTATGGATCCAAGTAAAATGAAATCCTTGACAATGTCGATCTTTTCTCCACTTATCATGATGTTGCTTATTGGTCCAGTTGTGAGGATTTATGTTTTCTTTATGTTGAGATGTAATCCATATTGAATGCTATAGTCTTTGGTCTTTGCCAGTAAGTGTTTCAAGTCATCTTCACTTTCAGCAAGCAAGGTTGTGTCACCTGCATATCACAGGTTATTAATAAGTCTTCTTTCAATCCTGATGCTGCTTTCTTCTTCATATAGTTCAGCTTCTTGGATTATTCACTCAGTGTACAGATTGAATAAGTATGGTGAAAGGATACAACCCTGACACACATCTTTCTTGATTTTAAATCACACAGTATCACCTTGTTCTGGTAGAATTGCTGCCTCATCTGTGTACAAATTCCTCATAAGCACAATGAACTGTTCTAGAATTCCCATTCTTCACAATGTTATCCACATATCCACACTGTTGTGATCCACACAGTCAAATGCTGTTATGGTTACCCAGTGCCACTTTGGGAGCTCTGGTTAGCAGACATTTGACTGCTACCCAGAAGGCTGGTGGTTCAAACCCACCAGCCACTCCTTGGAAGGAAGGTTGGGCAACCTACTTCCATAGTGATACTGCCTCAGAAACCCAAGGAGGGGTCGCAATGAGTCGGGTCCGACTTGACGGTATATAACAACAACAACAACATTCCCTTTAGCTACTTCCATTCAAGAGCAAGTTTCAGAGTCTCTTCTGACATCCATGTGGGTCTTTCCTTCCTTTCCTTTTTAATGACCTTTTGCTTTCTTCATGTATGATGTCCTTGAGGTCATCCCACAACTAGTCTAGTCTTTAGTCACTGGTGTTCAATGCATCTAATCTAGTCTTCAGATGGTATCTAAATTCAAGTTGGGATATACTCAAGGTCATATTTTAGCTCTGTTTTAATTTTTTTCAGCTTCAACTTAAACTTGCATATGAGCAATTGAAGGTCTGTTCCATAGCTGGGCCTGGCCTTGTTTTGACTGATGATATTGAGCTTTTCCATCGTCTCTCTCCATAGATGTAGTCTATTTGATCCCTGTGTAGTCCATCTGTACATGACAAAGTTCATTGTGCATAATCCCTGTTTATGTTGTTGAAAAAGGTATTTGCAATGAATAAGTGGTTGGTCATACAAAATTCTACCATGCAATCTCTGGCATCATTTCTATCACCAAGGCCCTATTTTCCAAGTACTAATGCTTCTTAGTTTCCAACTTTCTTATTCCAATCACCAGTTTTAGCAATACATCTTGATTGCATATTTGGTTAATTTCAGATGTTGGTTGCAGAAGTTGGTAAAATCTTAAGTTTCTTCATCTTTGGGTTTGGTGGTTGGTGCATAAATTTGAATAATAGTCATATTAACTGGTCTTCCTTATGGACATATGGATATTATCCTATCACTGACAGCACTGTACTTCAGGATAGATCTTGAGATGTTCTTTTTGGTGATGGACATGATGCCACTTGTTCTGGTTACCTAGTGCCATTCTAACAGAAGATACCATATTTAAATGGAATAGCTTGAACAAACAGGAGTTCATTCTCTTTCGGTTTGGGAGACTACAAGTCCAAGGTCAAAGTGCCAGGCTCTAGGGGCTGGGTGAAAGCCCCTTCACCTTGGGCTTCAGCTCTGCCTCTTGCTCCCACCCACTGAAGCTAGAGGCTTTTCTTCATTCAGGCAGCTGCTGGCTGCTGAGGCTGACAAACCCAAGGTGACAAGTAAAAAGGCACAGTCCCAATATCACCAAACAACATGGCAGGCCACTAATTCAAGTCCAGAAAATGTCCCAAGATCGGCAGGGCATGACAGGCTGCTGAACAATGACTTGGCTACTTGCAGAGTTCAAGCATGCCAGTGTGCCAAAAAGCTAGAGACCATTCCCAAAGCTGCTTCTTATATATGGGAATCAGACCATATCCCTAAAGCAGCTACTCAGCTGCTCCAATACCTTCCACCATGGAGTTAATTACCAATCTTACCATGGGGAATAACTACATCCAGCTGCCTAGCCACTCAACCAGGCCCAGTCAAGTTGACACACAAGCTTAACTACCACACCACTCCTCTTTAATTGTGTCATTCCTGGTATAGTAGGCCATATGATTATGCAATTCAAAATGACCATTTCAGCTCACTAATGCCTAGGATACCGATCTTTTTTTAATTTTTATTTTCATTGTGATCTTTATGCATTCCATCTCATTTTTGACCACTTCCAGTTTTCCTAGATTCATACTGTACATTCCACATTCTGATTATTAATGGATATTTGCAGCCATTTCTTCTCATTTTGAGTTATACCCAATCAACAAATGAAGGTCCAGAAAGCTTTAGTCCATCCATGTCATTAAGGTCAACTCTGAGCAGTCAGCTCTTCCTCAGTCATACTTTGAGCATCTTACAACCTGAGTGGCTTATCTTTCAGCACTATATCAGACCTTTCAGCACTATTTTGTTGTTGTTGTTATATTTCAGCACTATATCAGACAATATTTCCCTGCTAAGGTTTTCACTGGCCACTTTTTTTTTTTTTTTAA